TTTTAAAGACCTAGAAAGGGCAAGAATAGTTAGCTGAGACCGCTACTGAAAAGAACACAACTTGGGCTGCAACAGTGGCGATAGTAAGTCATACGTATATAAAGATTCGCAGGTTACATTTTCAAAATTTATAAGCCAATTCATTAGTAACATCATCAATATCATCATCGTATCACATGACCGCCTCTTCATTTTAGTCGCGGAGCCAAACCTGGTAGACAGGGCTTCCAAGATTCCCAATCCTGTACCAGAGTCTGAGCTTCGACAGAAGATAACTTGAGTCGGGAACAGACTCCTTCCATATACTTGCTACTGGTTAGTCATAACCGTTTCATTGGACTTCTGCCTGACAACTGCGCAAGAAATATTTTCTTCGTCTTCCTTTCTGGAGATATTTGCAACACATACCAAAACTATTGTAGCTGTGACTTTTCAATCTAAAAACCGCCAAGGCTCTCGCGGATTTTTGTATTCCGGACAATGTCGAGACGAATATGGCCAGCGAATCATCTTTGAAGGCTCATTTCAGCCGCTTATACCCAAAATCGAAATTTTTCTGTCATTTTTCACGACTAATCGTCGCAAGTAAGCGTGAGAATGACAATCGACCTGAATACAGAGAGCGTGCTCTTCAAACTAAGCTTCTGCTTTTGTCACACTCGAAAGCAAAACTCTACTCGATACTCCAGTCCTCCGGTCCATCTCTTCTTCAAACTTTCTATTATGAGTAAACACGACTCCGAGGTACTTGAGATTTCAAATCTGATGAAGGCACCGAGCAGACAAACGAGAGCGCTAGGTTTCCGTTCTAGATGCGCTCACACACAAATGCGGTTCACGTCACACTCGGCAGCGAACTTTTCCAAAGAGCGCCGTAGATCATTTTCGGAGGATGCCAATAAAACAAGATTGTCGGCAAACAGCAACTTTCTCAATTCCACATCACTTACACCGATTAATTCCTTGACTTGGCTGGTCCCGATTATTCTATCCATGTACAACATAAACAGGACAAGGCATAGAACGTCACGTTGGCGGAGATCAATGACAACACTGAAAGGCTACGGCTTAACGCCATTTACTCTGACGCAGCACATACCATCACAATATAATGATAATGGCCCGTAGCAAAACAACAATCGGTCCTATATGTTCGAAGGGATGAACTATTGCGCGAAATTCGGTCATAGGCTTTCTCTAGATCAACAGAGTACATATACTCCGGGTGGACGAATTCCCACGATTTATCTTTAGTTTGAGTTAGGGTTAATATCTGATCACAAGTGCTTCGTTCACGTCCGAAACCTCACTGCTTGAGTCAGTTATTCCGCGGCACCTCTTTCCTAGCACCTTTGCGTAGACTGTACCTGGTAGGCTCAGTAACGTAATGCCCCTATAATAGAAACATTTTTTGTGGTCTCCATTTTGAATGTGTAAACAACTCCCTTTCTCCAGTGCGTTGGTGTCCTCCCCGTAGCCACAGCAAGTTGACAGACACGTGTGCCAAACAACAAAGTTTATTAATGAAATGCTTGTTTTTCACCGATAAGGAAAAAATTGCTGGTAATTTTTGTCATCCCCGTTTCTTTACCAGCTTGTTCCGTTGCAGCAATGTCCCCACTGAATGCATTATTGACATCTAGCCTGCTAGGAGCTATAACCATTCAAAATACTGTGGAAAATTCATAGAAACGACAGCTGGCTAATATTAGTCACGTATTTTCTCAATCATTGCTTGCGCGGCAAGAAAACTTTTTGGACCTAAAACTAGGGTGACTCAAAATAAAAGGAGCTTAAGCGTTACGTGGCTGTCATTTAGCAGACCAGTCACGGCGTCGACAATTTTTTGATTTTTTTCGTTCCACTGTAATTGATTTATGTAACTGTGACCATGTTACATACATAATACTGTGGTAATATTGTTCAAGCAGTGAGCTCAGTAAGCTTTCAGTATTTAGACACGCAATCGTCTTCGCTAACAAATCGACATAACGATTAAAAACTTTCAAATACAAAACTGAAGTACAGACAAATTTTCGTAAAATGGCACAGTTTACATTGAGCTTTTCAAGATGATATGTACATTCGCAAATTATAAGCAAATAAATGTTCATTTTTCATCTTGCGATTCGTTTCTTGGAGTTTACACTTGAACCACAAAACTTTTATATCATGACTTGACCTCGCAGAACAGGCTTCGTTCGTTGTAGTCGTCATTAGCCACGCGGATCGTCGTCAGTCAGACTATTATACGCC